GGGGTAAGTGCTTAATGTTAGATTACTGCGACTGTTTGGCAAATTGTGTAAATACAAAAATGCATAATCCTGTTAGTCCGGTGGTTAAGGGATCCGACCCTGCACTTTATTTTGTCGCAATGAAACAATACATTTTAGAAGTGTTACATAATTTCAGCCAAAAGTCTGTATTTTTTAAGTGTTGATTATATAGGCTTTTATAACATGTTTATCACATTTATGTGTTGCAGGGTCTCAACGAATCACCTTGCAGTACCAGTAGTTCGAAGACCTGTCGAACCTTCAGTTAGAAACTTAAACAGTTTCCTCTTTACTTACATGAAGTACCAGGTACCAAGGGCCCGTACTGGATTTGAGATCATTTATGCATCCCAGAATTCAAATTCAAATGTATTGGTGCCAGTATACGTAAAAGCTTCCGGAATCTGCCAACGCTTGATCCAGTCCTCGAAACATGTTTTAAGCTCGATGTTAGGTATCTCTATTAGGGCAATCTTCGATTTTTTCATTATCTCCTCTAATTCCAAGGCTTTTGGCACCAACTTGGCTGAAACACGACGGAGAGCCACATTGTTTTGGATGGATCCATAAGAAGTGCTCAAGTCCTCTGCCATCTCTCTGTTAGTTAAATTGCTGTTCTTGGCCAACCTTTTCTTCACTTTGTCAACGTTTTCTTCTGTTTTCGATATCGATGGTCTGCCGCTGCGCTCATCATTCTGTGAACCGTTTGTACTACTCGAAAACGGCTGTTTTCTTCAAAGCATCGTTGCCAAAGCATTTTTCTAACATGTCCAAGGTTCGCGTACGGTTGCTAATGTTTTTTTACACAAAATTCAGTGCAAACGCGTTGTTGTTCATTCAGCGTCATTCAAAAAATCCTAATAAATCGTGAACACGTCCAAAGGGCACATGTAGTCAATTCGACGTAGCTTTGACAACTGATAATGAAATGATGCCAACATTCGGGAATATCAGTGACAGTTGAGCACTATAACAACACAAACAGGACTCGCAGCCGAGTGCTACGAGCGCCACACGGCGACCATTCCGGGAACTTTTCGATCAAGGTATGTACTTGCACAGGTCAAAGACGCAGACCTGAAATCTGACTCAAATTATAATAAAAAAATCTAAGACATCAAACAACAAATAAAATATATGCCGAAGAAATTAATCCGTACTATAGACCGCATCTGACATTAAGATGCTTTTCGCATTTCCTTTAAATGGTTGACTATGATGCTTTTCGGCAGATGTCTAAAAAATTATATGCACTAGTACTCTGCAGACTTCTAACACATTGTTAGCCAGAAGTGCTCTGGAATTAGATTACTTTTGAACCTCGTATTGTGTTCGTGAACATCACTGTGCATTCTGAACATAGTAAGGTTGTTCTTTATACAGGGTGACTTGTAGTGTCACGTATTCCTGTTAAGGGGTGATAGATTAGGTCAAAACCAACCGATTTTGTCCTATAATGTCCTATAAAGAAGTTAACCGTTTTTGAGTTATTTGAATTTTATTTTTTTTTATTTTTTATTCCGATTTCAGATGGTTAAATTTGAAATACAAAAAAAACTACATGTTACGAATACACGCCCACATTCTCTTACGTAATTCACTGTTGGTAACTCTAGTTGATAAGCGGCTTTTTATTTGGTCAGCTGCACTGATTATCTTTGTAATTAATTCATCGCGCGTTGTTACTAGCGAAACATCGTACACCAGGCTTTTCATATGTCCCCACACATACTAATCCATCGGTGTGAGATCTGGGCTTCTTGCTGGCCAGGCAATGGGCCCGTCTCTGCGAATCCATTGATTTGGAAATTTATGGTCTAAATACGCCCGTATTAATCTACTGTAGTCTGCGGGACAGCCGTCGTGCTGGAACCGCATATTTTGTCTCGTCGCCAATGGGACGTCTTCCATTAATGGAAACAAGTGATTTTTCAAGAACTCTTCATACACTTCTTCATTTAAATTGGCGGGCAGAAAATGAGGTCCAATTAAATATCCATCAATGATGCCCATCCACACATTGACTGAAAACCGGCTCTGAGACCCCATCGGTCTTATTTTTCGGGGGTTTAAAGCTTCTTTATCAGCCCAATAATGAGCATTATGGTAGTTAGTGATCCCGTCCTTATCAAACTTCGATTCATCGGTCCACAGAATTTTCTTAAAATAGTCTGGATCTTCTGTATCTGCATGTAACATGTACCTGCAGAAATCTAATCGTCTTCCAGGATCGCCCTCTTCAATCACATGCACAGGCGTGTAGTGATAAGGGTATAATCTTGCAGTAGGCACAGTAAACCATACTTTGTATTGTGATATACCCAACTGAGCAGCCACAATGCGCGTAAAAGTAGTAGGGTCTTCCTGAAACACACGAAGGATTTCCTCTTCATCTTCAGGAGGATAGACTCGGAGTCGACCAGCATCACTATGCTGCCTTTGGACACGTCCGGTTTGGCGGATGCGCCGATACACAGAGTCAAACACAGTAACATGAGGTGTTCGGCGATTCGGGAAACGTTGCCGATATTCACGGCGGGCAGCTGCAGAATCGCCGTTACAAAGTCCGTAACAGAACATTATCTCTGCGTATTCTTCATTTGTAAAAGTTTGCCCGTGCTCGCTATGGCGAGGTCCTGGCGGATCTTCTGCGTCTGCCATGATGAGAAAGAAACCACTCGAAATGATCTGGGAAACTCGAAAATAATAATCGTGCGTAAAACGTGTGCGCGTACGCAGTAGTTGATACCAACTAAACCTAATTCTCACTAGGCGTGCGGCGATGGCGTAACTACAGGGTGGCCCATAAGTCCTTTGAGCTGGAAAAAAAGGAATAAAACCAAACTAGTTACATTATGAAGAATTATTATATTTTGTTATCATCTTTATTGAATGGGAATTATGTTTTAAAAATCACATCGTCTAAATGCAATCCATTATGATCACGGCACTCATATAAACAACGTCTAAAATTGTCGATGACTGCGCGGCAAGTCAACTCTGTAATGCTTGTCATTTCTCTTCGGATATTTCTTTCAGGACATCAACTGATCGCGGAGTGGTGTACACTTTACTCTTGAGGTAGCCCCATAAAAAGAAGTCCATTGGGGTCAAATCTGGACTACGTGGTGGCCAGGAAATGTTTCCTCTTCGAGAAATTACTTTGCTGGGAAAAAGTTGACAGACGACGGGCATAGAAGTTTTGGAGGTGTGGGCAGTTGCTCCGTCCTATTGAAACCAGGTCTGCGTATTATAGCCTGGAAAATTCTGCAACGCTGGTGTCAAAAACTCTTCTATCATTGCTACATACCGCTCCGAAGTAACAGTTAATGCGCGACCTCTGTCGTCCTCAAAAAAATAAGGGCCTACGATGCCATGCGCTGACATAGTAGCCCAAACTGTAACTTTAGGGCTGTGTAAGGGCTTCTGATGCTTACGCCTTGGATTTTCGGGGCTCCAATAACGGCAATTTTGTTTATTTACATGCCCGTTTAAATGGAAGTGAGCCTCGTCCGAGAACAACATTATTGAGCGAAGAAAATCGATTCAACATTTCATTCGCAAAGTTTAGTCTCTGAATAGCGTCATTATCTTTTAATTCCTGCACTAACTGAATTTTGTAAGCGTGCAGACGTAAATCTTTCCTTAAAATCCGCTGTAAAGATGTTCTGGGTACGTTTAGTGCACTGGAACGCTTACGAGTAGACTGGGTAGGATTTTGACGAACAGACTGTGCCACAATGTTGATGTTTTCTTCAATACGAGTTGTCCTTGGTCGACCCCACCGCTGTTTATCTAACATCGAACCAGTAATACAAATTCCTTAAAAAAACAGCCTCTGTGGGTGTCATTGTTGTTTCTCTGCATGTACTTCAGATAATTGAACGCTTAATACCTCAAATGAAAGCTTGTTAGATAAAGATATTAATTACATAATTTGCACATTTCATTACTAGGAGATTTTTTTACAGAAAATTGCATTTTTTATCGAATAAGTTAGTAAAAAAAAAGAAAATGATACATTTAAAAAGTTTAATTTTAAAAAGTTTGTAGCTTTTCAACATTTTATTACTTATTATGAACTATTGGAATGTCTGCTATGCGACGATAACAAAAAACTCAAAATAAGCATGCAGTTATTTTGTATTTCAATTTTAACCGTCTGAATTCGGAATTAAAAATAAAAACCTTAAAATTCAAATAACTCAAAAATGGTTAACTTTTGGATAAGACATGATAGGACAAAATCGGTTGCTTTTGACCTAATCTATCACCCCTTAACAGGAATACGTGACATTACAAATCACCCTGTATAGAAAAGGCAGTTGATGTTATGATCCCTAGGTCTCAAAAAATCTAATCGTTAATTACCCTGATGACCTTCCTCTGAAGGCCTCAAAGACACAATGTGATTGCGCAGCGCATCCCCAAATCAGTGAAGCGTATGACATGATTGAATGAAATAAAGCTGTTCTCAACACCGCATTCCACTAAGCGTCGTAACGCATACAGTCCAGACTCAATATTTTTCGCGACATGGTTTATATGGATATCCGTTTTAAGGTGCGGGTCGACGTGTACCCCAGAAATTTTACAGATGGTGTATTCATATTTAAATCCATTAGCTGTCATAGTGAAGACACCATCTGTTGGGTTTTGCTTTGAATGATCTCCATGACGTTCCCTATATGGCAAAACAAAGATCTGTATTCTGAATTATTAAACTCGTTACAATTTCTGCGAAAAATCCAATTGTCTAAATTACCAGGAAAATTAATCAAACTCCCGTCAAATAATCCGGATAACAAAGCTTCCTTCGCTCCAGTGGTAAGCAATGCGTGTTATCGATTCCAGGGTATTTTTAGGTTGTGCAGTAGGTGTACTCGTATTAACGTCAGTCGAAATATCTGTTCCGCGCCTACGAATCCGACATAATCCAACGTTGTTTGGACGGCTATTGTGTGCCCGGTCAAACGTACTTAATGGCTCCACACGTGTGGCTCTGCACTCTGCCTCATTCGATGCGACATCGTTGCTCGCATCCATTTTTTCACCGAATAATACACATGTCACCGCGTTGGGTATCTTATATGGTATCATTTAATGGAAGAAATGCATCAATTAGGGTATCCAACATACACATAACTAGGGCCCTCAAAGAAAATGACGCCAAGTAGGTTGATTGTAATTCCTACGCAATGCTGTTATTAATTCATAAAGGATTATCTTCGGCACAAGTTCGCCCGTAAGAAAAAAGTTAACCAGATCTATAACAATGAAATTAAATGGATTAGTCAACCAGTCCATACAATGAATCCACAGTCCACACCCATTTGACAACAGTGCGATCTAGACATTTCTGTCCCGCCCTACTGACCGTAGCCGCCAGAGAGCGTGAAATGGGCCTCGTCGGTCATCACTATTTGCTTCCAAAAATCAAGTTCAGCATCAACCATGCGAGAGACTATTTGGACGTATTCCAAGCGACGTGGACGGTCATTTGGCAATAGCTTGTGTGTTAACTACACCTTATAAGGAAACAAATGCAAATCATCCTTCAAAATGCGCCGCAATGTGGTTCCACTGATGCCAAAATGCTGAGCGGGGTGACGATACGACACTTTTGGGTTCTGAGCAAGGCTGTCTCTGACCCTTTCAACCAATTCATTCCAACGTCTTGGTAGTTCATGAACGGGATGTTGACGATCTCCCACTGTCCCGTACTCAAGAAAATTTGAAACCAAACGACGGATAGTGTTGTCAGTTTTTGCCACGATATTTTCGACGATATGCACGTTGCGGTAACACAACTGAACGACGATTTTCAATGTACATTGTGACTATTTCGGCGCGTTTTTTCGGTGTAAAGCGATTGATGACAAAAATTGTAGTAAACTGACGTTTCAGAAACACGTATAAACAAATCACTCGGTTGGTAAATATCAAAGTCATTCGATGTTTCAATACCGGCATGAAAGATGGCGCATCCGGTATCTCTATAATTCCAAGTTTTACAACAAATGTAACAAATGTACGGGAAAATATTTGATGTGTAAATATGTACTGATAGGCGCATAAAATTACTGGGGTTGGCAGCGTATAAATATAATGCTCCAACAAAACATACCCTCCCCTACCCCGTACAACCCCCAACCCCGAATTTACAACCCCTAATATTTTTTTCTGAAAATGATCAGGAGCCTGTGAAACACCCCCAGTGCTGCGACCACTAGACCGATTTGCAAAAACTGTGCTTTTTCTTCGTTGGCATATTAGTCACTTTGAGACAACGGGCAGACCGACAGATCGACGGAAATAACATGGTAGTAGTACTACTAGTCACAAGTCCTTTGAAGTGAATAAATGTTTCAGAGAGTAGGTGCAATGCCTGAAACTTACCATGTGATTTTCATGCTGATAATCAACCACGTTTGTCTGGCCCCTAAATGAAACCTTACACGTTTGAGTTGCTGTTTACTGACACGACCATGTTGACCTTTTTGATGTACAAATTAATGACAATTTTGATGACAATATATTTTATTTATTTGTCTCCTAGATGACAGTTCTTTTGTTTTGTTTTTTCGTATTCGTATGCTTCACTTGTTTGAATGGTCTTGTGAGATGCTGAGATTGGGCGAGGCCATCATCGCAATTTTAAGATGGCACTCCGCACAACCACCAAAGCTCAGGACCTAGGGGTAACCATTCCCGCTCCCAATAGAACGTCCTGCCTCCCGGAGCGACAACTGGGTATGAGGTTTTTTTAATGTACCAGACACGTCACCCTCGTTCATCGTTCCAAAAACGCCAGAAGTTTTCCGAAAACAAATATGTTACGATAATAGTTCTGAGTGAGCTTCCGCGTTTTCGGCGAACTTTTAGCGCTTTCGGGACGACGGACGGGGGTGACCTGTTTGGTACATAAAAAGGGCAGAACCTTATGCTTATATTGTGACGACTGTACTTACTGCACCAGCACCAACCAGAACGAGCCCCATGCACATGTGCAAGAGCCTACCTTTTGACTTACCCTATATAAAACATTCTATACTATACTACACCTTACTATCGTCGGCTGTCTGAATCACTTCCGGTCGGGTGCGCCATCTAGCGGGGCCCGCCAGTCAACATATACCATCAACCCCGTTCAAATTTAGAATTTAGAAAAGACGGTCCAGTCCCACGATAAGAGATTCTCCCCGAGTGATCCCTAGGCAGGAATAATGCCACGTGTCGGCCAATCCAGTTTTTCTAAACTGATAGAAGCCCCACCGGCGGCGAATAACACACCTTTGCAGATTATGCATTATTCACAGACGATGTGTACATTTATCAGCGGATACTGTTTAGGATATCTATCGACCTATATGGCGCCTATGTGGCGCGTCTAAGGCGCTACAGTGTGGCTACTCGTGGCAATGTTGTCATCAGAATTATCATTTGGAATTGAAAAAAGCCGCCATGGTGGACGATATGTTGTGTCAGTAAGCAGCGATTCAAACTTGCTTGCTTGCTTGCTTTCTTTCAGCGGCCAGTACTTCTTATCTGCTGTAGTATTAAAATTATTAACTACTTCAGAAATCTCGACTACAGTACCTAATCTATACTTTCTCTAACCAAGGCGTAACAATTGAATATCGTCATTGTATGTAGATGCGCATGTGCTGCCAACTGTCTCAACCAGAGCACAGGTAGGATCAACTTCCTTATCTATATTAATGAAATAATTTTCCTGCTCGCTTCAGGTCTCCGAACCGTTCCTTCCATGTGACGCCACTTTCTAATATCCGCTCATTCATAAATCAGGGACACATTGTAATTATGGAGGTTAGTAGCTTATAAACCAAGATATTTTCATTGGTATGTAGAGCGAATAAATATAATTAAGGAAAAGAGATTATACAAGTTAGAGGTAACAATCCCATTAGCATTAACTTATTCAAAGTACTAAATAGTTGGACTGGAAGAATTTTATAGAATCTATTAGTTATTCTAAATATACGTATATACTTTGGACGGAGGATGAGGCTTTGCTCATATTGTAGAACCATTCTATGTTTTTACTTACAAAGTGTTGTCTAAGTAAGTACTCAAAGAAGGACATCATGAGGATTTTAAAAAAAAAGTATTACGTGCTGTACTTTATTATCCATTATATTCTTATAATATACATCTGTTTAAAGTCTGATCGCTTAAAATGATTCTCAAAAGTAAATTAGCTTCTAATGCATGCCATTTTGGACCAACAAAAAACTCGCCAAAATATAACACTCATTACGCATGAGCCTCACAAGGGCTAAGACCAACCTCTTACTTTGTGAGTACTAAACCGCACATGAAAAATTACTATAACAGGCACAGGCCTACATCGCGCGTTTTTAGAAACTCCTTTGGAGAGCTGTGGGCTTTCAAAGGCTAGCGGTATCACAAGAAAATATACTAAGTGACATAAATCCGAACACCCAGTTTAAATGGTTTTATTTTAATAAAATTTTGTATAAGACTTAATGAAGCATAATAAGTAAATGATAAAAATTTCAAAATAAATGCACTGCTTTAAAGCCCTTTGACCTTTAATAATGTGTGGATGCACCCTGATGTGCTAAGCATTCTCCAACGCGCCTAGGCATGCTTCTGATCAGGTGGTCAATGTCCTCCAGTGGTATCTCATTCCAGGCAACCACCAACTCCTCTCGAAGTGCTTCTAGAGTCTGAGGAGGACGTTGCAAATTGAGCAATCTCCTACCCATCATATCCCACACGTGCTCAATTGGGGATAAGTCGGGAGATCTTGGTGGCCATGGTAACAATGTGACATCATTATGTTGAAAGAAGTCTATTGTGACTCTTGCAACATGTGGTCGGGCATTATCTTGTTGGAAAGTTGGATCTGCCAGGGTGTCAAGATAGGGTAAAAGATGGGGTACTAGAACTTCGTGGATTTAACGCTGCGCGTTCATGTTACCTCTGATGAAGATTAAAGGTGACCTGGAACCATAAGCTATAGCACCCCAAACCATAACTCCAACAGTGTGATGAAAATGTCTTTCAACAAAAAACTGTGGATTCCTCCATTCACCACGTCGCCTTCTAACCCTGGCACGACCATCGTGCATGCCTAAACAAAATCGAGACTAGTCACTAAAGACAATGTTCCATTCCTGATCCCAGAGTGACCGTTGTCTGCACCACTCAAGGCGATTACGTCGGTGTTCTCGAGTTAAAGGGAGGACCCAGTGTGGCCGGTATGAAAACAAGCCAGACTTCTCATTCGTCGGTAAACACTTCGCATGCCAATAGGTCTTCCGTGTTCTGCAAACCATTCATTTGCAATGGACCTGGTAGTGGAGAAACGGTCCCTTAAGGCCAATAATCTTAGGCGGCGAACTTCACGGTCTGTTGTTCTACGGCGGCGTCCAGTGCCCCTTGCTCTTTGCGTACGGCCTTCTCGAAGCCATGCCTGACAACACCTAACCACAGTGTCTACACTTCTTTGCACTCTAACTGCAATTGCCCGAAAAGAAAGTCCAGCTTAACGAAGTCCCACTATACGGCGCCTATCAAACTCACTAAGTTGACGAAATCGTACTGGTCTCCGTACTCTAGGCATCGTAACCGATCGCAAAGGATGTCAAGAACCAAAATCCGCCAACGTTGATTCTTTACTGCGGCTGAAATATTCATTTTTAGAGCGTTAGTGAATTAAAAAAAAGCAGTATAAAAACCGGAATGTCCAACTGATAAGGCTGAAAATTTTTTCACTTGTTATTTACAGTAAGATAAATACATTCACCAACTTTTATTAAAATAAAACCATTTAAACAGGGTGTTCGGATTTATATGTCACTTAGTATATATCCATCCTTCAGAGTGGCTAATAAAGATATGCAGACGGTACCAACACGTCAGTGTTTCTGTGAGCTTTTACACTTGAGCAAAAGGTACCTTAAAAAATGTATCAAAAAAGCGCTTTGATCACAAACTATGAAGATGTCTCATAGATTTGAGCGAGAAGAACTTAAAACAGAATCGAAGAAGACGCCTCCAGCAAATATATCACGATTGTGACTAGAGAGTAGCTTTACTCCTGGCAGAGCAATCTTGATTGGCGCTGCAAAGGGCTGTTGGAGGAATATATCGCAAGTATTCACAAAGAAACTCTATTGAAGATAAACATATAAAAAGCAAACGTTAGGCGCACTGTAGAGGACAGCTGGTCTCCGCACAGGGTAGATTGGCAAGTCAGACCCTCCGAGGGGGACTGCCCCAGACCGAGAATAACCTCACATGTCAGCCCAATTAGACTTCATAATCACCATATTCCCACTTCGACTGACAAGGATGCACGATTGCTGATCATGCATAAGCATCAGCGGATGTGGTTTGGGATATATGTTCGTAAGCTAGCGAGCTAGGTCGAGTAAAGGCTTACAGAGTGATTACTTGTGACACTTGTGTAACAAACAAAATATTCAATCTAATAGAGAAAAATAACATGGAGGTCACCTTCAAGCCTAATATGAATATCGATGTCCCTAGAGCCTTAGGAACACGTAGCACAATATTACCTGAGTCAATTGTGTCGACGTACGTATTTTTGAATAACGTGTCGCAGTTAATATAGCATATCAAATTGCATAATTTAGAGCGGTAATAAACAGCACATAAACATGTAGCATTTCAAATGAACAACACCAGAGGTAATTGCAAACATAGAGCCTAGAAATGGAAGCGTTGTTTTTAATGTATAGAATATTAAATTTGGACCGTTGTGGACTACACTGTACTACATTATTCACTAGAGCGCAAAAGGGGTTGTGACTACTTACAACTTGATTACCCACTTAACAACATATTATCATTTAATGTTAGTTTATGTTTCATTACATTATGAAACCGAGTGTAAGGTACCTGTCAAGGCCAATCTTATAAAAACTAGTACTATATCTTTCGTCCGTCCAACGACAGGCCGGCAACCATGGACAGGTGT